CATTTAAGGAAAAAATAAAAAAATCGGACCAAACAGGCTAATTTCTCGAACCAGCCTTGGTGTTTGGATATGCACAGGCCATATTTTCCTTTAATTTCTTTCTGCTTATATTATTTTTTAATTCCTGACCATTAACACTTAAAAGTGCATTTATATCAGTATCACCAAAGTAAATATTAATGTAAGCAAGACTCACCTAGAGCTGCTTTGGCTGCAGCAGATGCCACCCTGGGATCCACAACAGAAGCCAGGAAGGCTACTGTGCTCATCACAGGGTTTCCAGACTGGCTGAAGGGAATAGGCTGGTAGGCCAAAGGACCCAGGGACGTTTCTGTGCTCTCGAGATATGGATCTTCTATGGGCAGCCGCAGGAAGTGCAGGATACATTCATCTTGGGTGCGTGAACCAACATGTTCTGAAACTTTGTTCCAGTCGTCTTTGTACATCTCCAGGGCCTGTAAGCAGCACAGATACAAGTTTATTGGTTTCAGGAGGAAAATGATGACAAAGGGTGCAGGTATAAACATCTGTAGTTTATATGATGTGAGAAAATGATGGAGTGACTTACAGTATAAAAAAGAAAATGAAAAGCAGACAGATATTAAAAAAGACACACCTCAAGCAGCAGTAGAGTCTCTTGCTCAGTCCATTCTCTGGTGGTAGTGGCACCTTTTCCCTGCTGTGATTCAAAGCAAATACATTATTAAATTAAAGAATTTTTTTTTTTAGATTCTAAGAATGTAACATGTTTACATGCACAAATCATGTTAAGCTCTCACCTTGGCGTTTTTCTTGTAGAGGTCGGGCCGGAGGCCAAAGTTCTGCAGGTCAATTGGTTTGTCTTTGGCCTTATCTGCAAAGTTAGGCATTGGCTGTGGAGGAGGAATCTGCAGAAATCAAACACTTACTATTAGAGATGTAACCTTAACCTGCTTTGCTTTAAAGATTTATTCATGACGTGTACTGTGGGAAATTGTAAAAAAAAATAATAATAATAAAAAAATAAAAAATGTCCTCCTATGCTTCTTACAGGTGGTGGTCGGTGGTTGAGGGGCATGAGTCCAGAGGGTGTGTCAGCCAGCACGGTGAAATGAGGTGTAGGAGGGGGGCCCATGGGCAGGGGGCGACTTTCAGCATCCACCTGGTAATTTACTAAACCCCACTGCTCCAGGAAGGCATGGACTCTGAAGACAAGAAAGGAAAAACAATTTTAAGTTGTACAATCTTCACCCTTTGCAAAGTGCATTCACATATTCTTTTTTTCAACAGAACTAAAACTGTGTATAGATCAAATTTAGCAGACCTCATGATGGCACAGACATCGCCGGTCAGGTTTCTGCGACAGGAGGTGGAGGTCAGGTATTCTTGAGGGTTCAGCCGATACGTGTCAATCATGAAGTTACGATAGGCCAGGTATCTGTCCAGGAGTCACAACACATGAAAGTGAACAACATACCATGAATATGACAGCTTTCTCACTCAAAATGAAACTTGCTGTGGATGAAGTAAGAATGAAAATCTAACTCACATTTCTGGAGTTTTGGACTTATTCTTTCCATTAAAGAACTCTGGAAGGGCTCTTCGTTCGATCTCGTGGATGCTAAAAAGGGAGAAAACAAAAAACAAAAAAACAGATCAAACAGAGCAAAAACCTTTTTACGAGACTTATGATCTGCTTTGTCATAAACATATTCACAAAAACTTGAATTTGTAAAAAAAACAACAAAAAAAACAAAAACAGTATCATACACACAGGTCCAACTCCAACTTCCCCCAATTTTCCAAATAAACCTGATTGGTTAGACCTTTTATATCAAATTACACAACATGGCCTAAAGAGCAGCAGAAGACAGAATAATTGAGAGGTTTTCATCTCCTCAGAACTAACCTGTTGTAGTCGAACCAGGCAGAGTAGCTGGGAATGATGATGTGATGCGTCTGTTCAGTTACATTGTCTTCGCCAGCATCCATCCGATTGACTTCTCCCTTGCCTTGCTCATCATCGTCCTGTAGACGAA